GAGCTATTTTAAAAAGTGGAAGTCAAAGCCTGCTGAGAAAAATAGAAAGGTGCATAACTTCTGGCAAGTATAAAAATACAGTAAGGCAAGCCAAAAAAAGAATGGAGAGCACAAATAGCAGAAGACACAAACTAACCAGAAATATTTGTAGTTACATGGGAAGCAAGGAGCCTGACAAAAATCACTGAGGCCACTAGACGACTGTATTTTAAAAAGTGGAAGTCAAAGCCTGCTGAGAAAAATAGAAAGGTGCATAACTTCTGGCAAGTATAAAAATACAGTAAGGCAAGCCAAAAAAAGAATGGAGAGCACAAATAGCAGAAGACACAAACTAACCAGAAATATTTGTAGTTACATGGGAAGCAAGGAGCCTGACAAAAATCACTGAGGCCACTAGACGACTGAGGTGCTAAAGGAGCACTTAAGGAAACCAAGGCTATTGAGGAGAAGCCAAAGGATTTATTTGCAGCGTTCTAGACTGATGGACATGAGGGATAGTCCCACACTTGAGCCATTACTTTTTGGATGACAAACCTGAGGAATTGTCCTAAACTGAGGGATCCATAATAGGTTTTGGAACAAATTGAACAGCACCCCAGGTGACTGACAAGGGATAGGATGGAGGACAGCACTCCAGACTCCCCAGACGAAGGAGGGACAGTGACAACCAATGAAGGACATAGTCAGGGGACATGGTCAAGGGCACTGGCTCCTTTTACCTGGTGGACCATGCTATAGCAGGAAGATGAACAGACTGAAAAGGGCACAGGACGGACCACATCACGGCACACCCTACCCAGGAACTTATGAACTTTGTTAAAGATTAAGACTCTGCCTTGTGCTATGGGTGGCGCTCCCGAGGACACTTGTTTACTGAGCTTTAAACACCCATCTCCTACCCCCAGGAAGAGCTGCCCCAGATGGAGGACAAGGGATGACGAAGCGGTTGGACCCTGCACATTGACACGGGAACAGGTCAAGGGAAGCATTGACCTGAATATGATCTTTTTTTTTTGCTATTTCAGGAAGACCATCAGACGGAAGAGGATGCAGGAGGGACCGCACCCCCCCGCATGGACTCACGAACTATGCCAGAGAAAAATTTTGTTCTGCTTTATGGGTGGTGCCCTCGAGGTCACATTGACTGAGCTTTAAACACCCATCACTTATACCCCAGTTGAGCCATCCCAGCTGGACGACGCAATTCGCTGAGGGACCAGCTCAAGGGAAGCATTAACTTCTTTTACCTGGTGCACCAGGATTAATTTTTGTTTTCTGTTGTCAGCTCAAGTAAACCACCAGTGAGAAAATGACCCAGGACAGAACCACGCTGCGAGGCCTCCTCCACCCACGGACTTACAATCTATGCCAGACACAAAAACTCTTACTTTATGGGTGGTGCCCCCAAGGACAAATAGGCTACGTCTAGACTGGCATGATTTTCCTCAAATGCTTTTAATGGAAAAGTTTTCCGTTAAAAGCATTTGCGGAAAAGCGCGTCTAGATTGGCACGGACGCTTTTCCGCAAAAGCACTTTTTGCAGAAAAGCATCCGTGCCAATCTAGATGCACTTTTGCGCAAAAAAGCCCTGATCGCCATTTTTGCGATCGTGGCTTTTTTGCGCAAAATAAATCTGAGCTCTCTACGCTGGCCCGAACGGGAGCAGCATAGTATTTTCTCAAGAAGCACTGATTTCTTACATGAGATCATCAGTGTTCTCGCGGAAATTCAAGCGGCCAGTGAAGACAGCTGGCAAGTTTTTCCACAAAAGCAGCTGCTTTTGCGGAAAAACTTGCCAGTCTAGACACAGCCATATAGTCTAAGTCCATGGTCACCAACCTGTCAACTGGTTGATTGCGGGGATATGACCAGTCGATCGTGAGGCGTTCCAGGCCCCCCTCCCCTCATTTCCCTCACCACCAAGAAATAGTCCGCGCTCACACTACCTCCTGGGAAAGTGGAGGAAGCACGGGCTTCCTGCAGCATGGGAAGGGAAGTCCCACAGCTGTGCGTCGGGTCCGGTGTCTCAGGAAGCACGTGGGCTGCTTTTCCCCTCCCCTAACAGCTGGTGCACTTCCTGAGAAGTTGGATCTGGCACACAGCTGGGGACTTCCTTCCCCGTGTTTCCTGCCTTCCTTCCTGCGTGGGAGGTGGGGTGGGGAGAAGGAGGCCTAGGACTGCACGCTAGCTTCAACTTCTAAGGAAGCACACTGGCTGTCATGGGGAGGAGCAGCACGCACGCTCCTTGAGAAGTTGGAGCTGGTGTGCAGTCCCAGGCTGCCTCCTCCCCACCCTTGCCCGCACAAGAAGGAAGGCAGGAAGCACGAGGAAGGAAGTCCCCAGCTGTGTGCCAGATCCGACTTCTCAGGAAGCGCGCCAGCTGTTTGAGGAGGGGAGGAGCAGCACACGTGCTTGCTGAAACACCAGATCTAGACCTAGCATGCAGCCACAGGAGCCCCAGGTACCAGCTGTGCTGTCCCTTCCCTCTCCCCCGGTCAGACCCGCACCAGCAACCTGCCCCAGCACCTTGCCCTGGCACTCACTAGCACCCTGGCCAGACACCCACCAGCACCCTGCCCTTTCCCTCCTGGCTAGACACCTACCCCCAGCTTGCTCCTGAATCCTATTTTCCACCCAAATTCTGCACCCCATCCCTATTCCCAGGGCTTGCCGAACAGCAGTGAACCCCACTCACCAGCCATGTGGTTCTGCTCTGGCTCTTCTGGGGGTGTAATCTACATTGTTTGACAAGCCCTGCCTATTCCACTCACTGGCAGTCCTGTTCTGCACTCTGGATTCCCTCATTTTTGGCCCCAATTCAGAATGTAGAGGGGCCCACAAATTCCTCCAACCCTGGAACCCCAGAAGAGTTAATCTGGCCTGAGGCCTTGCACCGGGGCTGGAGTGAGGTATCTTAGTTGGGACCAGATCATTGAGACTTGATGGGGTTTTTTTTGGAGGGAGTGGGGGGAGAGAAGGGAGATCTCACTTGTGGTCTTCAACTGATTTTTCTGTGGGTAAGTGATCACTGACCCAAAACAGATTCCCAGCCCCTCCCATAAAGAACGACGTTCTGTTTGACAGATTTCATTTAAAAATGAAGCCTGGCCAACCAGCCCCTAATTGGGGCCAGCCCCCATCTGGCCACAGCATCGTAACACTCCTGTACCCCCCCGACCTCAAACCTGAGTCCTTCATATAGCTGAACCCCTTATCCTGAGCCTCATCCCCAAACTCCTGCACCCCCACTTCCCCACTCTTCTGCCCCAACATTCCTACACCATCCACACACTGTAAACCTGCCGAGCCCCTCATACACCCCCATCCCAAACTCCTACACTCCCACATCCACAAGCCTTGTTTGGCACCCCAACCCTCTCCAGCCTGGAGCCCCCTCCCTGAGCCAGCATCCCCTTCATCTCCTCCTGCACCCCAGTTCCCTCCCAGAACTTGCACTTCTCACCCCTTCCCACACCCACATCCCTTGTTCCCACACCTGTCTCAACCCAGCGAGAATGAGTAAGGGCTGGGGACAGCAAATGATGGAGAGGGTAGGGCTTCAAGGAAGGGGTGGGGTAGATCTTGGCTTGCCTGGGCATTTAAAAAGTGATCTTGGGTGTAAAAAGGTTGGGGACCACTGTTCTGAGGTGTTAAATACCTCCCCTATTACTGGGACAATGCGGGTGCCACCAATAGTCTTTTTAACCAGGTTTGCTTCCTTGTTTTCTCTGGAACCCACCCTTGACCCCTGGATTCGTTATTTAACAAATGAAGGTATGTGTCTTTACTTAATAAAATGTCTCCAGGAATAGATGGTATAAGCCAAGAGGTCTGAAGGAACTTAAAATAGCGAGAGAGATGTAGCCGTATTAGTCTGGTGTAGCTGAAACAAAATAAAGGACAATGTAGCACTTTAAAGACTAACAAGATGGTTTATTAGGTGATGAGCTATCATGGGCCAGACCCACTTCCTCAGATCAAATAGTGGAAGAAAATTGCCACAACCATATATACCAAAGGATACAATTAAAAAAAATGAACACATATGAGAAAGAAATCAAATTTCAGAACAGAAGGGGGATGGGGAGGGGGAGGAAGGTAAATGTCTGTGAGCTAATGATATTAGAGGTGATAACTGGGGAAGCTATCTTTGTAATGGGTAAGATCATTAGATCCCTTATTCAGGCTCAGACGTAAAGTGTCGAATTTAAGCATGAATAACAGTTCAGAGGATTCTCTTTCAAGTGCAGTCTTGAAAGGCTTTTGAAGCAGGATGCAGGTAATTAAGTCGTTGAGACAGTGTCCTTTCTGGTTGAAATGGCAAGAAACTGTTTTCTCTTTGTGAGCCTGTCTAATGTCTGTTTTGTGGGCATTGATCCTTTGGCGAAGTGTCTGAGACGTTTGTCCAATGTACATAGCAGACGGACACTTTCGGCACATGATAGCATAAATTATATTTCTGGATGCGCAGGAATATGTGTTCTTGATCTTATAACTCACTTGGTTAGGTCCAATAATGGTATCAGCAGAATGAATATGTGGACAAAGCTGGCAACGGGGTTTGTTGCAAGGGAAGGTACCAGGGTTGGTATTAGTGTGCTATGTCCTGTGGTGGTTGGTAAGAATCATCTTGAGGTTAGGTGGTTGTCTATAGGAGACTATGGGTCTGTCTCCCAGAGCCTCTTTGAGTATGGTATCCTGTTCCAATATAGGCTGTAGTTTATTGATAATGTGTTGGACAGGTTTAAGTTGGGGGTTGTAGGTGATGACAAGTGGTGTTCTATTGTTGGTTTTCTTGGGTCTGTCTTGAAGTAGATGGTTTCTAGGTATTCGTCTGGCTCTTTCAATTTGCTTTTTTATTTCTCTGGGTGGGTAGTTGAGATTTATAAATGCTTGGTAGAGATCCTGAAGCTTCTGGTCTCTGTCAGTGGGGTTAGAGCAGATGCGGTTGTATCGAAGGGCTTGGCTATAGACGATGGATCGTGTGGTGTGTTCTGGATGGGAGCTGGATGCATGTAGGTAACTGTATGAGTCAGTGGGTTTTCTGTAGAGAGTGGTGTCTAATTTTCCATTGTTGATTTGTACGGTGGTGTCCAGGAAGTGGATCTCTCGTGTAGAATGGTCCAGGCTGAGGTTGATGGTGGGGTGTAGGTTGTTGAAATCTCTGTGGAATATCTCCAGTGTTTCTTGGCCATGTGTCCAGATCATAAAGATGTCATCGATGTACCGTAGGTAGAGGAGGGGTGAAAGGGGACGGGAGTTGAGGAAACGTTGTTCTAGGTCAGCCATAAAGATGTTAGCATACTGTGGGGCCATGCGTGTACCCATGGCTGTGCCGCTGATCTGGAGGTATAAGTTGTTCTCAAACCGGAAATAATTGTGGGTGAGAACAAAGTTACATAGGTCTGCTATCAGGTTGGCAGTAGTGTCCTCTGGGATAGTGTTTCTAATTGCTTGTAATCCGTCTTCATGTGGGATGTTGGTATATAGAGCTTCTACATCCATGGTGGCAAGGATGGTGTTATTGGGGAGGTTATCGATGTTTTGTAGTTTCCTTAGGAAGTCAGTAGTGTCTCGGAGATAGCTGGGGGTGTTGGTTGCGTAGGGTTTGAGAAGAGAGTCTACATAGCTGGATAAACCAGTAGTGAGCGTGCCAATACCAGAGATGATGGGACGTCCGGGGTGTCCAGGTTTATGGATCTTGGGAAGCAGATAGAACAATCCTGGTCCGGGGTCAGAAGGGACTCATCACCTAATAAACCATCTTGTTAGTCTTTAAAGTGCTACATAGTCCTGTATTTTGAAGGAACTTAAATATTTTCAATTGCAGAACTAGTGGGGTACAAACTACTGCTGAAATCAGCTTCTGTACCAGGTGACTGGAGGGTAGCTAACTTGATGCCAGTTTTTAAAAAAGGCTCCAAAGGTGATCCTATCAAGTATAGGCCTGTGTGCCTAATCTCAGTATCAGTTAAATTCACTGGAACTATAGTGAAAAGCAGAACTCTCCAATACACAGCTGAAGAAGTATGTTAGTGAAGAACCACCATAGCATTTGTACCCGTCCCTCACCGATCTGAGAGAATTTTGAGGGATAAACAAGTCCGTGGCAAGAGTGACCAGTGGATAGCACCAACACTTTCTGAAAACCTAAATGCAAGAGCCCTCCCAAAGACTCTTAGGTAAAGTAGGCAGTTGTAAGAAAAGAGGGAAGATCTTCACAGGGATCAATAGCTGATTAAAAGACAGAAAACAAAGAGTAGCAGTAAATAGTAATTTCTCAGTGGAATGAGGAACAGTGTTCCTCCAAAATCTGTACTGGGACCAGTGCTGTTCACTATAGCCATAAATAACATGGAAAAGGGGTAAACAGCAAGGTGGAAGTGTTTGCAGAAGATACAACATTCCCAAAGATAAGTCGTCCAAAGTTGACTGAAGAATTACAAGGGGGTTTAATTATACTGGGTGCTTGGGCAACAAAATAGCAGAAGAAATTAACTGTTGCTAGATACAAAGTAATGCACATTAGAAAATCCCAATTACGCATTCAAAATGGAGTCTACATTAGAGAGATCTTGGCATCATTATTGATAGTTTTCTGAAAACATCTGCTCAGTATGCAATGGCAAGTCAGAAAAATGCCAACAGTGTTAGGAACCATAAGGAAGAAGATAAATAAGATGACAAACTATCATATGCCACTATATAAATCCATGGTACACCAACACCTTGAATACTGCATGCAGTTCTGATTGTCCCATCTTGAAAAAAGGTATATTAGTATTGGAAAAAGCATACAGAAAGGAAGACATGACTAGCGGTATGGAAGAGTTTCCATGTGAGATTAAAAAACTGTTCAGCTTGGAAAAGAAATGTCTATGAGGAATACAAGAGCTCCCACTCTAGATATGTGGAAGTCTATGGATAGTGCAGAGAAACTGGATAAGGGTTTTTTATCCCATCATAACACAAGAACCAGGCTCAGCCAACAACATGTGTAGGCAGCAGGTTTAAAGTAAACATAAGTACTTCCTCACCCAGTGCAGTCAGCCTGTGGAACTGGTTGCCAGGGGATGTTGAAGGCCGAAAGTATAACTGGGTTCAGCAAAGAATTGACAAGATCATGGAGAATGGGTCCATCAATGGCCACTTGCCAGAGTGGGCAAGGATCCAACCGCACACTAGTCCCAGCTTCTGACAGGCAGACGGTTGTGGATGGATCACTGGATAAATTGCCTCTTCTGTTGATTCCCTCTGAAATCTTCTCAGCAGTTTATGGCAGATGCAGCAGACTTGGCTAGGTAGACCAATGATCTATGGCTATTGGCAATTCTATTGCCGTTGGCCACTGGCTTAGGGGAGTGTGGCTATTCGTATGCCCCCATTATAGTCTTATGCAACCAAAGGCAGCAGTGAGTTGCAGGCACCTCATGGCGTATTTGCGATTGGGATAGGTCAGAGCCAACCCTGCCTGCTCAGTGAAGCTCACAAATCCATGGGCACATTCTAAGTTGGATAAAATTTGCCTGTGTCTTCGGCCACCTTGCCCTCCCCGTGCTTTTGTCCCCACTACCACCCCAACCCTCCTCCGCCCCCATCATCATAGCTCAGGCACTAGTCAGTGTTCAGAATGAGAACTGGGCAAAGGGATACTGTGAAATTCTGGGCTTTGATTCTTTGCATCTTGGAGCTTGTGCTCTAGGTTTTTCTTCTCCTTTTGCTGCCCAACTGCCAACCAGTGTTCCCTGGAAACAGAGCAGTCGGTCAGCCACCCTCCAGAGATTCAAATGACACCTAGATGATTAGCAGAGCATCTACAGGTAGGTTTGTGTTGGTTGGTGGTGCACAGTCAAATGCCTCAGTGTACCCAGAAACAAATTATTCCACACATGGATGGAAAAGATTAGAGGGAACATTGCCCTCTAGACAGTTATAGCATCAGAGTGTATTCCCCTAAGTGGATAGGCACAAAGGCTAGTGGTATAAGGGAGATACATGAGGTAATACCTTAGGGTGCATCTACACAGCAGGGCTACATTCAAAATAAGCTACGCAATTGAGCTACACAACTAGCGTAGCTCAAGTTGGAATAGCTTATTTTGAATTGGGGCACATCTACACAGCACTGATTTCAAAATAGAGCACTCTTCCTCCGACTTCCTGTTCTCTCAATTCTCGTAAAACGAGGGTTCCAGGAGTCCTTCGGCTGGACATTATTTCAACATTGTGTCAAAGTAACTGCTGGTGTGGAGACACGCACTTCGTTATTTTGAAATAAATTATTCAAACACAACAGTGCTGTTTAGATGCACCCATAGTGATAAAGGAACATGCAGGATGTTCGTGGAAAGGAAAAAGCTGTAGAGTTCACAGAACTTATGTTCAGGGCAAGGGGAAGGTAAGCAGAGGAAATAGCTAAATCCAACGGGAGACAAATCGTTACATGTAAGTGCTTCACACCTGCCGTAGGAGACCACTTACCCTGATAAAATGAAGTGGACACAACTAAGGGTTATGTTAAAAATTATTGTAGTGAGTCACTAGTCAGTGTGTCTGTTAAATCCATGGTTTTAGTGTCCAGCGGCGCTATGGCATTAAGTTCCCAGGCTAAGATAAGGGATCTTATCTCAAGAACTGTGACCCCAGGAGGTGCAATGTACAACTTAATTTTCCACAAATAAGTCACCACTTGCCCAACAGTGAAACTGGTATAAAAGCTGCATAAGCCAGACCCCTGACAAATCAGCGTCTGCCAAGTGGAAGAATCAGCAGAGCATCGTAAGAGTTAGGAACAAACCTGACCACCAGCTGCCGCCACATCCCCAGGAAAGATGCTCCGGAATGGGTCTCTTTAAAAGATGTTTATTGGTCATATACAAAATAAAGAAAGCCTCATATCAACAAACATACACTATATACAGAAATAAATTAACACCACCTCCAAAGGGGCCGCGACAGCAAATCCCCGACAGTTATCAACAGATACCTATCTACAGATGGTTAAAGGACAATAATTTAGTAATAAATACTGATTATTAGCTGGACTTGGCTCTGTTAGCGAAAAGCCTTGGTCTGAACATTTTATTACACCCCTGTCACAGAGATCACACCCCATTTCTAAATCTGTACAAGTTAGATTTTGTTTAATAAAATAGTTTCCATTTTAGGGTATTTTTAAAACGGAAAAGAAGCAAATTCATGATTCAGCCCTGAGCCTGGCAGGCCCAGGACTCACGTTTGACACTGCAGGGCGGCAGCCCCTTGTTCCGGCACTTTGTGCTCAGGTTATTTCTCCAACAACATTCCAGTTTGGCCAAGGGTGTAATAAACTCGGGCAGACTGCAGTGAGGGCACCCTCAAGGCAGGGCTCAGCATCTGACAGCTTCTCCCTTGCAACAGGGCAAGGACTCCACTCCCACAGCCCCACCAGCAGGTGCTGGGATTCATGGCTGCACAATATTGCCCTCCACGGAGGAGTGGGTGATGTGGAAGCCCCAGGCAGGAACAGCGGCTGCAGAATCCTTCGCACAGGCTGCAGCCAGATGGTTCATACACAAGCATCCAAAGCTCACTCGCACCTGCGGACAGCCCACCTGACAGCTCCCTGCCACCCACTGAGCAGAGCGTAGCCCCCACCAGGCTGCCCCGGGAACCTGCCAGCTCTGCAGCTGAACGGGGCCCACCTCTACCACCTCACCTCTGAGCAGGGAAGGAGTCTCACTGCACCCACAGGCCCCCCCCGGGTTCCCAGGTAGGCTTGTGTTTCTCCGGCTGGTGCACATCCACACATGCCTCAGTGCAGGTAATTTATTCCACACAGATGGAAACAATCCACATCTGGACAGAAAAGATTAGAGGGAAATTGGCCCCTGCACCCTTCCCTTTACTATGGTAGGAGGCGGCAGCATGCCCTGGCAGGAAGGGAACCTTCCTCTGAGGTGAGAGCATTAGTGTCTGTTCCTGCCAGAGAAACCAGAGCCTGAGGCACAAGCTTTGTTCGGGAAGAGCACAGTCCCCTCCCAGCAGGCTGGTGAAGGATGGGCCACAGCCCCCATCTAACCATTCCCCGCTGGCCTCAGGCGGGGGGGTAGGGGGAAGGCAAGGGCAGCTCCGCTCACTAAAGGTTGGAGAAGGTAGGCGACCCCCCACCCCATGCATTTTACACCAGAGCCACAGGGACAGTGGTGACCATCCAGGATGTCACATGCACACACCAGCCAACCCACAGGGAGTGCTCTGCGTTTCCCCCACCACCACCCAGCAGTCCTAGCTCTTGCCTGCACACTGCAGTCTGCCTCTTCCTCTCCCTAAAGAGAAATATCCATCAATGTTGCATAAGCCAAGAGATCACTTTACACAATTCACCACAACACACACAAGTCCCTGTGCACGCCCAGCTGTGCAAGGGAGGATACACTTCACGGGTTCGCTTTGCAGCCAGGCTAGGAGCAAAACACCCACCCGCTGCATCAGAGAGGTACCAGGGGACGGAGAAAAAAACACAACACCCTTCACAGCAGGAAACCAAATGAACAAGCACCTGGAAAACAAGAACGGCCACACTCTGACACGCTATATAGGAGAGAGCGAGTGAGAATCAAGTGAAGGGCTGGGGCCGACTCACAGTGGGGCAATCCACAAACACAAGCTGACTGGTGCTGGGGTGGGGGCACCCCCTTTAGCGTTAGTGGGGATTCCCTGAACATTCAGACTCTTACTTCACTAAAAGCCAAGAACCAAATCATGCCAATGGCTGACACGAGGCAGAGCCCAGCCCGGAGCCCCCCCGCCACGCCGGTCACTAAGGGCGCAGTCGAGCCCGGAGCCCCCCCGCCACGCCGGTCACTAAGGGCGCAGTCGAGCCCGGAGCCCCCCCGCCACGCCGGTCACTAAGGGCGCAGTCGAGCCCGGAGCCCCCCCGCCACGCCGGTCACTAAGGGCGCAGTCGAGCCCGGAGCCCCCCCGCCACGCCGGTCACTAAGGGCGCAGTCGAGCCCGGAGCCCCCCCGCCACGCCGGTCACTAAGGGCGCAGTCGAGCCCGGAGCCCCCCCGCCACGCCGGTCACTAAGGGCGCAGTCGAGCCCGGAGCCCCCCCGCCACGCCGGTCACTGACAGGGCAGAGGCCAGCCCTGGAGCCGCCCGGAGCCCCTCCGCCACGCCGGTCACTGACAGGGCAGAGCAGCAAGCCCAGAGGAGGGAAGCAACTTGCCTAAGGTCACACCTGGAGCCCGTGGCCACACCAAGAGGGGATCCCAGGAGTCCTGGCTCCTAGCACTCAGTTCATTGCTCCACATCACACAGCTACAGCTTTGTGTCTTTGCTCCTAAACCCCTGGGCAGAGATGTGACATCACTGAATAGGCTCGTCACAGCCAGGGAGTTTGGGGTGGCAGACTAAGCAGCACAGTAAAAAGAAATCTCAAGAAGAGCCGAGTCTGAGCCAGTGCCTGCTGGGTCCTCCAGCGCTCCCTGTGCCCAGCCCCAAAGGATCCTCCCAGGAAAGGCCTCAGGCCGCCTCTGAAGACGGAGGAAGGGCGAGGGGTCAGCCAGGGAGGGACGTGCCAGGCTGTTAAATCAGGGTTGGAGGACAGAAGGGGACTGGCAGCAACTCCCGGGGCGCTCTGGCCATGGCACCTTCCCCAGCAGAGAGTCGCCACCTGCGCCTGCCATTGCACAAAGCCTGATGGGGCCTCCTCAAAGCAAAGCCAGCTGGGGGTGGAGCACAGCACCCACCTTGCTATGACCCCCCCACAATGGCGTCCCCCACAGCCCAGGCAGGGCAGACATGCCAGGCTTGCTCGGACCTCGTGGGTCTTCCGGGCTCTTTTCAGGGGGCTGCGCTTGAAGACCCTGCAGTCAGCACCTTGTGAGTGGTGGCAGGAGAAAGGCGCCAGAAGGCCGGGAGTGAAATCCGCAGGGGCCACGCTGCACCCAGAACAGCCACTAGCCCTTCTGGAGAGCTGGTCTCAGCTGTTCATGAGGACTAGAGGAAACCCCATGGCTTGGCAGGGGGACATGGGAGACCCCCCTGCCCCATGTAACCCACTGGGAACAGCTTCCTCCTGGATCCCCGACTAGAGCAAAGCAGAAAAACCCTCAAGCTCTCGAGCAAGGGTGGACTGAACGGAAAATCCTCTGAAATCTCTGCCCATGGGGGGCATGAACTCTGTGCCCAGCCAGAGAAGCTCAGCACCATGAACAGGCCCTGAAGCTGGCGCTGCAGCTGAGCCCAGCACCAACCTACTGCGTTCCCTGCACTCAGCCAACATCCAGCAGCCCAGAGAGCAGCCTGTCAGGCTGGTCTCTCCCCACTGCCTGGGGGAACAGGCTTCCCGGGGTGGGGGGGCTCCAGATGTGGGATAGCACGGTGGTTCTGTCGCGTCACCCGCCGCCCGCCCGACCTACCCGTCGCGCCTAGAAGCTGCACGAGGGAGCGGTGCCCTGGCTTCCCTCTCAGTACTATGCAGACGCGACAGCAAGAGTCCAGCACCATGCCCCATGCAACTTCCTGCCCTGCTCAAATGCACAGTGAGGCTCATGGCCAGCACGTCAAGTCCTGATCTCAGGGCCCAACAGGAAACCAAAGCCCAGAGCTACTTCCCAGTCGCCTCCTGAGCAGCCTCCTTTCCCCTGCTCCAAGCAGGGGAGAGAGTCTGCGGCGTTCCGGTACCGGAGCTATCAAGGAACCCCAGCAGCAGCTGGGCCTCTGAGGAAGCTGGCTGCCTCCTGGTAGGGAGACAGGCGGCAGGGCTGTCCAAGAGCCCTGCGCAGAAGGAGAGGTGCCCGGATACCATTGGCTCACCCCCAGCCAGTTGTTCTGGCTTCCCGTTAGAGGCTCTTGATCTTCGCTGGTTGGGGGCCCAGCACAGGGCCCAAGCCCCTCCTGGGAAGCGAAGGCAGCGCAGACAGGACAGCAAGGCAGCAATTGGCACCATCACAGCGCAGCACCACACGAGCGCTCAGAGCACGGCCAGGCAGCACAGTGGGAACAGGGCGGAAGCCAGCAAGTGCAAGAATAAGTCACTTTTGGTACAATTGCAAAAAAGGTATCAAACAGGACTTGCCTTTTTTTGTCTTTTTCTACGTTTTATAAATAAAGTCTGAGAACTCTGTATAAAAACGAACCTCGGAGCCACAGAGCAGGCAGGAGGCTCATGAGAAACTTGAAAATTATTTGTCTTATTTACTTTTCAGCTAGCAGAGTCTGAGAATATTTTTCCACTTATATGGTCAAATATTCCCGCTGGCTCTGGTAAAAAAGCTGACTATAAATATGATCTCCCCTCTGTCTGATTTTTAAACTTTGATAAGGTAAGAACTCTTAAAATGAATGTCTCTCTCTTTAAACAACAGGACTATTTAAGCACAAACTGGTTGTGTAAACCAAACGGGAGACACACGATACCCTCAACAGCTAGGAGAAACTAGGGATTTTGGTCTTGTTCAGTGCAGCATGTTAGGCACAAAACTGGCCTGCAGTCACCAGGGTTTCTCTTCCTCCCCACATTGCTGGCCCCCACAGTGCCCTCGTCTGGCTCGCCTCCCTCCCCGGCCACAGAGCAGAGACCCAGGGGACTGCAGTCTCCTCCCTCCCCCGAATTATCATGGGTGTGACTGGCACAGGGAGCATCACAAGGAAGCCTGCCTTCCAGACACAGGTGGGATGCTAGAAGTGAACACAAACTCCTCCCCACGGCGACCACGCGGATGCGAGACACAAGCAGCAGATTTGAACACCTGGCAACCAGGCCCCGAGATACGCGACTTGGAAGTCTAGTGGAATAAATCCTTCGGAAGTGACTGAAACCGGGGATCCCAACTCCCTGCCCCAGAACCTCTCTGCCCTCCCATGCCCCATCCCACTGGAAAGGGGCACGGGCCCCAGTCACCCTCCTTCCTCCATGCAGGGTGGAATTTCTTTGGCTAGAGCACCACGGTCTCTGTCCTGAGGACGCCCCAGAGGGCTGTGGACCCCTAGGCGGGAGGCGCGCTGTGCAGGAGGGGGTGTTGCCGCTGGGCACAGCAATCTGAACAAGACACGACACAGAACTGGAGTGGTCAGCAGGCCGGCCGAGCAGAGAGGAGGGAGTCCTGACCCACGAGGAAAGGGGCTTGTGCTTCGGGGGTGCCGGGTTAGCTTTGTGCCTAACTGCTCTGCACAGACAAGCCCAGGCAGCACTCGCTTCACTAAGACCGGGCGTCCGTTTTGGATTTCACTATTGTGATGACACTGGTGGTGGCGACTTTGCCAGGGACAAGGGGCCCCATGCTGGACGTGATGGGGCCCCATGCAGGAGCCACCGGGCTCCGGGCCACGGTTCTGGCAAAGTTCTGGAGCGCCTCATATTTGGAGCGGAGGGCATCAAGTTCCAGTTTCATGCTGGCATTCTCGGAGGCCAGCTTCTCCACCTCCTGCTGCAGCTCCGCCTTCTGCTTTTCCAGCTCCTCCTTCTGGGTGACACGCTTGACCCGGCAGCTGGCCGCGTAGCCTCGGTTCTTCAGCGTGCGCCGGCGCTGCTTCAGCTGGATGATCTCCTCCTTGGACAGGCCCCGCAGATGCTGGTTCAGCTCCCGCACAGACATGGTCACCAGCTCCTCATCTGTCAAGCTGGTCCCATTCTCGCCCGGCTCCCGCTTCACCTGTGGGAAGGGGGACACATGCTTATTGCCATCCCCGCAGAGCGCCCGCAGGGTCACCCGGGCCCCGGGGCCCCCTTTACCTTCAAGGCTTTGTTTGCTTGGTTGGGGGTCGTCATAACACGAGAGCCTTGTCGGTCAGGATCTGAAAGAAAGGAGGGGAAGGTCAGAGCCTGGCCCGTGGCATCTGCTCCCCAGGGCGCCCTGCCCCTGCCCAGCACCCCGGGACCTGGGCAAAGTCTTAGTGGGCACCTGCCTCCCCCCGCAGATCCTGCCGCTGCTCATCTCTCCTCCTCACCCAGTGCCCGCGCAGACCTGAGCCAAATGCTGGCGGGGGCGGGGGGGGGGATTAAGAACAGGGGAGGAGTCTCAGTACAAGGAAGCCACATCTTTAAAAATAGCCTGGCAGGCAGCAGGCTGGGTCCTGAGCATGGCTGCTCCCAGCCTGTCATGCTGACTCAGCACATTGGCAACCTCTGAGCAGCTCTGCCACCTCGAGCACAACCAACCCCGCCTCAGTCAGTGGCCTCCCTCACCCGTAACCCTTTCCGGCTGGGGCCAGGGAGTCCAGGGCAGCCGGCCAGCAAAGGCCAAGGGATGGGGACTGCACAAGCCACTGGCTCTGCTCCAATCCCTGGCTGGGCAGCACGAGTCACCACCCTCAACCTGCACTGTCCCTCTTGCCCCACAGGCCATGCCTCTGCCGCACGTAGTGACTAAGCATCCTGAGGATGCTCCAACTCTGCAGGGCCCTCAGCAGGGGGCTGCTCCAGCCCGGTCAGGGTGGGACCACTCCAGTCCAGCTGGCCCCCCACCTGCCCCATTGTTTCACCGGTTGACTGATTCACCGGATTTTGCATCCTTCCTGTAGCCTGGATCTAGCTTGTTCCAGGTAAAACACTGACCCCAGGCTGAAAATCGGACACACACATGGCACCAAATGCCAAGTCATGGCAACTCCAGCGACTGCAGCTCAGCCATCCAGCCAAGCACCACCAGAGAAAGTCTTCGGCCTGCCCCGACATTGCCAGACAGGCAGGGCACAGGTGCTTCTACACGGCAAGGAACTTGTGCCCCGAGAACAGAGCCTTCGCCACTCACCAGATGCCAACCGTGCTGGTACAAAAGGTCATTTCTGCCAGCCCAGCTCTGCAAGAAACTGCTGCACAAAGAGCAGGCCCTGGCAGGACGGTCTGATGGGAAACCGGCACCTGCTTCGTGCAATGCGTCCTTCCCTTCCTCCTCATGCTGGGAGCCCAGCATCTCTCTGCCTCCCCCCCCAGGGGGAAGGCTCCTGCTGGCAGGAGCTGCAAGAACTGCAGGGGAGGCACTTTCACATTTGCAGCCCATACAAACACACGGGTTGAATTCAGTCTTGGCACTGATCTCCGAACATTGACTGTCCTGCCGATAATCCCAAGCAGAGTGTTAATGGAGGCAGGAGACAGACAGGTTCACGCACTCGCAGGGTCTACGCTGCCCAGCAAGGCCCCTCAGCTCTCCGGTAAGTCTGTCCCGGGCAGTGTTTCCACATGCCACTTTCCTGCTACCCCAGAGGATCCCCGCGGGCGGACAGGCTGTTTGAACGCACTAGGCCCAGGAACAGGTGCTATAATCCTTCCTGGCCCTTGAGCTCCCGAAATCTCACATCCCTGGACAACTGGTCCCAGGCCGGAGAGTCACCCTGAGACGAGTTAGGGGCAGGTGGGAGCTGAAAGGACCCAGGGGAGGGGGAGGCAGTGGCTGGGTGCTTCCCAGCACTGCGGGTGGGAGGGCGGGAGAAAGAGCAACAGCTTGGAAAGGTGCCAAGGAGCCGCTGAGAACAGTTAACTCTTCCTTGTGTCTTGAGTTAAACGGTTCGAACAGAAGGGACCCGATCTGCCAGGCCTCCAGTGCAGCCCAGCGCCTCTGCCGGGGCACAGGAGTCCAGCTGAAAGCATCTGATGAGTCCGCCCCCCCTCAAGAGGGGCCACGGTGCCCATCCTCAGGCATGGAGACTGGGGGAAGGCTGGCTGGCCACTTGCCAGGGCTGACAGGAAGGCCCCAGGCAGGCCTGCGGGGAGCCTGCCAGGACACTCAGAACAAGCTTGTCCAAGGTCCCAGTTGCAATGGCTGCCTGAAGAACGATCACCCGAAAGAGCGCCAAGCGCGTCGGCTCCAAGGGGAAAATGCAGCCTCAACACATTTCCCCAGGACTCCAAAGGCCTGAACTCAGCACTAGCACAGCCAATTCTCTCCTCAGCTAAAAGCGGCACAGCAGAGCTGACAGCAGAACGCATGATTCAACACAGGCCCCATTCTCAGCATTCCCGATTCACAGAACTGTGCCACCAAACTAGTGTAAACACGCTGACGTCACCCCTTCCAGCAGCGCAGCCAGCTGGAGACAGCTCCGCCAGGGGAGGCCCATCCACAAGGGACGTCGACGGAGCGACGCAGTGAGGGCTTCTGCAGGGAACTGGCAGCCACAGTTGTCCAGGGGTGTGACCACAGGCAGGCAGGGCCCTGCTGGGATATTCGCTCTGACTGGACAAGCAGAAGTGGAGACTGTACTTCTCATCTCTTCACATCACCCCCCACTCATGCTGCAGCAGATGAGCCCACGTCGAACTAGTGCCCAGAGCATCTCTGCAGTGTAGCAAACACAGCGGAGCCGAGTCTCCGATACTCCTTTGCCCAGCGCGTTCACCCCTTCCTGAACGCACAGCTCTGCTGCGAAGGGGAAGAGGAAGGGGCCCAAGACAGTGCACAGCAGAGGCCTTCCCAGCTTCGAGCAGCAAACCTTTATGGAATAAGCGGCCGCCTGAGAAGCCCGTCTCCCAGGAGAGGAAATGCCAGGCCACAAGGAGGGAGAGCAATTCCGCGCTAAGCAGGACCCTCAGTCTGCCCTGAAACCTGACAGGGAAGGTTCCAGTAGCACTTTCTGCTCCCACCGCAAGCAGCTAAACCCCCTCAACCCCTCCAAACCTTGCTAAGAACATAAGAATGGCCAGACTGGGTCAGACCAATAGTCCATACCGCCCAGTGTCCTGTCTGCCCACGGTGGCCGATGCCAGATGCACCAGAGGGAGGGATCACAACAGGTCATCTCGTGATTCCTCCCGTCACTCACCTCCAGAGAAACAGAGGCCAGGAACCCCATTCCTACCCAGCCTGGCTAGTAGCCATTGACGGACCTGACTTCCATGAATCTATCTAGCTCCTTTTTGAAGCTCTGGGCAGGGGACTAAGCATCAGCCAGCAGCGCGTCTTTCCATAAGTAGCATTTGCTTCACACTTCTCCCTCAAACCTGGCCACTGGCCGGGCTCAGGAAAGCCCCCAAAGTCCAGTTCTTAGACCCCACTGTAGGATGCAGTGCGCCTCAGTGCCGCTAAGCCCTTCCCCCAAGGAAATGTCAACAGCAATGCAGAACAAACACGCACTCTCCCCCAGTGGCACAATGTGCAGCAGCTGCCCCAGCGCAGAAGCTTTCACCCCAAGTGAAAACAGGAGACAGCAGCCCAAGTCGGGTCCCTGGGGCACAGAGACAAGCAAATGTTCAGGAGAAAGACAGGAGGGATGCAGCTTCTTGGCTTGTCCTTTTCTCTAGCAGTTATGGTCACAGGCAGGCCAAAGCGAAAGCAGTCCAGCCTCTGAGGTGACTGAAGAAAGTCCTGTCAGGTCTCACTGACACCTCACGCAAGTCCAGCCATCACCTCTCAGCTCAGAGCCCCATACCATTGCAGTGGAATTACTGGCTAGCAGACTGTGGGACACCGCAGGTTCATTGGCTCTAGCAGAGTCCTCCTGCAGCGTACATCTTCACAGCCAAAGGAATCCTACAGGCAGCTCTTCACACACACCTACCCCAGCCAGGGGAGCTGGGAGAGCCAGCAGGAGCCTGCACCTTTGCTGACCACCCAGATAAGAGGGAGAGCACATGCTGCAAAGACTAACATTCTAGTAAATTCCCAACACGTAGGATAACTTGGGGCAGAGGCCATACATGTAATAAAACCATCCACCAGAATAACAGACCATGCTTATCTGGACCCTTCCTGTCCCTCCCTCTCCCTCCCCTTCCCCCGCTCCCTCAAACTCTGAGCATGTTTAGGTCAGGAAACAGGCCTTCTGCAGGGCTTGGAAGTGCCTGGTGCATTTTAGGGGCTACTGCACTCAAAGCAACAAACATGAGGGTTCACCCCGATACTGGAAAGCGTGACCTAGCATTCTGAACACAGGACTGGGAAGCAAAACACCTAAATCCTCCTCTTGGCTCTGCACTTACTGTGTGGCTTTGGGGGTGTTTCCACTTCTGCAGTGCGAGGTTGCTTGCCTGGTAGCTGGGAGCTTAATTCATTAACGTTTTGTACTAACTGACATTATGAATAAATGTCTTGCTACTACTATACGGTTCGGTTTGATAGGTAGGAGCTTTAGAAAAGTTGTGTGTGGGCTGGGAAACTTAACACAATGGCTGACATTGTGTCAACTCTGTTTCTATGGCAATGTGTTTTTAAAGATCACGCAAATGGAGTTAGGACTTGTCTACACTTACAGTCAGGCGCAGGAGAACACACCACCGTGGGCTACTTATTCCACAGCTGGTCATTGAAGGATTTCTCACACTTTCCTCTAAAGCAACTGGTTCTGGTTGCTGTCAAAGACTGGACTAGACAGACCACTGGCCTGAGCCAGTCTGGCCATTCCTGAATTCCTATAGGCACTGCACATACACCTAGAAGTAGGCAAGTATCTGCCATGTGCTTTTAAAGCCTTTGGCAAGACGTCCTGGAGAATCACAAAACATCCTTCAAATTACTCTGTAGCAATTAATTCACAGACTGGCTGTTATTGTAAAACTCAGATGCACCCTTGACAGAGCTGGTCAAGGGCCTTTAGTAAAGCAAAGGCACCCCTGACCCTGGGCATAGCTACCAGAGGTGTCAGGCCTGACCCCACTTGTTTTGTTCTTCTGCCTTGTGGCCTCAGCATTCAGCCTTAGCAGAAATCTTGCTCAGGGAGAGATGGTGCACTTGTTGCACACAGAGTTTTTGGCTATTACCCAAGGCTCCCTGGTGTCCCACAATGGTGGGGTTAGTTGATTTCTGGGCACTTTGAGTAGATCTGTAGCACAGCTTTCCCCGTTATGCTTACATTAAGGGCATGCTAGCCCCCTCAGACCAGCCCTTGAAAGAGTTGTATTTAGGGGTATGAGGAGCATGTGTAGCTCTGGGGCCCTGCTGGTGACTAGGGGAAGACTACTGCCCTAGCAGCTGAATCACCTGGAACACTAGCTGAGGCAGGAGAGGAGCACAGGGTGTTCCAAGTACACACAAGCATGGGAGAGGTACCCAGAGCAGCCTGCTGGTCTCACAGCAGGAGCCCAGCCCCAGGGCTGGTTCTGACCTGGAAGTGTGCTCAGAATCCGCACTATGCCCCACCAGCACAGCCGCCCGTCTCTACGCCCCTCACCCCCCAAACCTACGGTCTGTAACTCCCCCATTCGCCCTGCTGCCCGCAGCCCCTCCCGGCAGCGCCGCACACGAGGGGAGACCTGTCTCCATGACACCGCCCCCCTCGGCGATGAGTCAGCGTGTCAGCCTCGGAGGCCCCCCCCATCCATTTGCAGACACGGACCGACCAACACGCCGGCCCCTGGTCCACGAGTCCCTCCCTCCCTCCCGCCGAGCGCCCCCTTGGCAGCGTCTACCCGGTGACCTCATGCTGATGAGTCAGCAGCGTCTGCTCA